AAAAAAAAAAAAAATAATTGAATGTATCAAGCATAAATATAAAGGACAATTTTCAAATGTAAGAAATAAAAATCAAATTACTTAATCGCTTATAATTCGAAGAATATGGATTTAAGAATAGAAAATTAGCGATGAAAGAAGAAACATTAAAACGTAATACCAATCAATCCACAAATACGATATTAAATCGAGTCTTATCCACTCGACAATTCGCAGACCGCGAAACATAAATCCTACCCCTTCTCTCGGGAAAGGGAGAATTTAATTAATTTGGGCGTCATCTAATTTCTCTGTAATAACAGATAACGTCACGGCCGCAATTTCATCGGTATTATCTCGAAACAGCAATTTCCATATCAACGGATTTACGTTTTATTTACGTTTTTCTTTTTTTTATTTTTCGACTCGGCGTTGAAAATTTCGCGAACGCAAGATCCTCCACCAATTTCCACGAATTTTGTACTTTCTTCAAGGCCAATATTTTATAAAGCGAACAATAACGTCGACCAATCATTGTTTTATTTCTTATACACTTTGAGACGAGAAAGAACGCTTTCGTTGTCGTCGTTTTCGAAATGAGATTTTACGCGCTCGAGAGCCATGTCGATGGCGCGACAAAATGGCGCGCGAGCGCGCGAAATACAAAACGAGGAGGAGGCGAGACGCGAGGATAGAATGAAATTTTCAAGACACGGGAAGGCTTTTCCTTGGATGATACATGCGTACGTCGAACGAGACCGTTTGAATATTCACTCTGTCGCCTCTGTTGTCCGCTTTGAATACGCGTTTCCGCTATGAACAAAGGAAAAGGTGTGGACAGAAGAAAGGACAATTGCGCGTTTCGACGAGGATTAGTCGTCAAACGTGAAGAATTATATTCGACGAGTTTCTTTGAACTTTTTGAAATTAAAATCAAGATAGATACCATAAGAAAATGCTTCGTAAGATCGTCGAGAGATTTTCATCTCCGTGCGGATTTTTCCTTTAAAAATTATATTCCACGCGATATATTCGTAATGAGATTCTTGCGTAAAATAAACGCGGTCAAAGAGCAGTGTCGATGTGGAAAGAGGAGAAATTTCGCAGAAATAATTATAAAAGAATCTGGATTCTTTTTCAGGATTAAAAGCGAATAAACAAGATTCGTTAATTATTTTTCAGTCGATTTTGACCGCCAATATTTTGATGATACCTAACAACTTTCCCCTAACGTATTATCGTGACAATCTCACTCAAGAATCACACCTCAAGAATCAAACTTATTTTGACAATCATTAATTATACATACGATTTCTGGTAAATAATTTTTATTCGCTTTACGAACACGATGGTATCCCTGATGAAACGTAAATTCGTCGGATGATTCTGCATTTTCATCCTTTCTCCGAGTTTCGAAATCCAAAATCCGCGTCACCATTTCTGTTAATAAATTGCACAACGATGACCACCTAGATAGATCTCCCTCCCCACGCGCAGAGAATTGTCAAAGTTAAATGGCGCGGTGGATTCGTGAAATTTCTCCGCAATTTACAGTTCGATCGACCCGTTTCCGGCCACGTCACGTCCAAATGATAAAACGTCGTCGCGCTTTCATCGGCGCGGATTCGCCGCGGTTTTATCAGCGGCCGCCCTCGTCGACAAGCGGATTATTAATCGGCGCCCGCCCCAATATCGTTCGATAAGCTTTAGAAACGGGTTAATGGAATGAAGCAGAATCGACTTTATCGGCCGAGAAATTCGGATAGCTGTATATCTGTCTATCGGCCACGCGAATTTGCGGGAATGGCGGTCGAGGCGGTTGTTAAGAGACATCTGCGTTAGGCCGATGCATACCGAACATGTGTGAAACATGGCCTGCGTGTTGACCTTGGATGTTGCAGTATATGGTGACAAGCGTGGTTTGCGGCTAATTGCGCGATCTCGATGGACTGCAGTGAATTTCGTTCGAGGATGCGGTTTGGTAAGGAATTGGTCCGAGTAATCGTCGCGGATAAAATGACAGATGCGTCGTAAATCTTTTGACATTTGACAGAATAAAATTCAATATTGAGAGTAATTGTGTATAGTGTCCACTAACGAAAAAATAATTTTGAAGAGCAATTTTATTTTTAAAGTTTATTCATATTCTAAGTGGAAGTTTGCCAATTGTTAAGATCGAAGAATTTGACAATTGCTATTATTCCTATTCCCATTACCTTTGAAATTTTCTTATGCATTTCTTTATTTTCTTTTCCATTTAACCTTTGTCTATTCAAATAATCTATCTCTCTGTGTCTTATTCTTATTTTTCTTTCTTCCATCTGCAATCTTCGATCTTTTTCATTCCTCGATCATCAATTTTTTTTCTAATTTATTTCTCTCTTTTCCTTTATTAAATTTCCCTCTTTCTCTTTCTACATGTATACAATTTCCTACGATTTTCCTTTCCTTTTTTTTTTTCCAATCACAATCGTCGTTTCTAAGATTGATGCAGCGAAAACAATACGCGCTGCGTGAATCGATGGATATTGCACGACCTCGATTCCAAGAAATATATACACGCGCACGCACACAGCGAAAGCGAATTTCGCAAATGCAATTTTCTCGGAAGAAGGCAAGGAGCAACGGTTTCTAAACGGTTCACGCGCAGGTGGACGTGAGCGAATTCGTTTCATTCGAACACAGTAAAATGTCAATCGTCCCTCCATTACGGATTAACGAGATTGACTATAATTAGAGGCGTTCTCGTCATCTGTTGTTCGAACTGGTCGCTCGAATCTAGTTTTCACATTGGGAAATAGTTGGCAAACGAACGATAGTTATTGCTGTTTCGAGTGTCAATTATTTATAACTGTATTGTAACTTACGAAGTGGGATCTTGATAGATCGATAATGTTGCCTTAATAAACTTTGTAACGCGCATTATTAAAAACGAGAAGATAACAAGAATGGGAAATTTCAAGTAATTCTGACGATTGATAATTTTATTTAATTCTTATCGTTATATACATTCTCCTATTATCCAATCAAATCTGTCAAATAAACTTTAATTCAACTCCCTCTAAAATCATAACGTCGCCTACGGATAATAGTCTTATAATCAAACTCTAAGTTTCTCTAAAGATGAAACTGGAAGACACGTCACGAATTTGCGAAAACTTTTGAATACGGAACAATTACCTTTCCATTCATTTTGCGAAATTTCTGTTTCAAATTAATTAATTTGACACTTAGTAGGGGATTATAAATCCTATTAATTATAATCAATCCAATCTCGCTAAGTTTTCGTTTCAACTTTTAATTCAACTTAATTATTTTTTAACACTCGATACGAAGAAATCTAAGAAGCTTAATTTTCTCTAAATATGACCAGCTGCTCCCGGCCAGACCTTGCTCGCGACTGGTCGTTTGCGTTGATCCGGATTAAGTCGTGATTTGAATATAGAATCGCGATTAGATTAGAGCCAATCGTTTTGAATATTGGATTATTCCTATGATAAATCGTTTCTT